TTTGAGGATGGTTCTGTTTTTCCAGCTGGAAAACAAGTTGTCATTTTGGTCAGTAGAGTATGAAATCTTTTAAAAGAGATCTACATAAATTTTGTTCTGATCAGAAACCTACAGACTGACTCTGTCTTTTTCTTTCAGTTTATTTAGATGGACTGAAGTCTAGAGATGAACTTTACAATCAAGTCTTTGAAGATATTCACAACAAGCTTTTAAATTGCTTATAGGTAAATACGTCCCTGCGTCTGAGGGGGTGAAACGCGAGGGACTGACTGCCGGAAATAACCCGCTCTTGCGCTTGGATAGTCACGCTTTCCCTTCTTGCTTTGCAGGGTCTCGGAAGACCTAAAAGACCCGTGTACAGAACGATGTAAATAGTACTCAGAAATTGGAGTGAGGGTTTATTTGTGTAAACCTTTATCATGCTGTCCTTTGGAAAGTGTCTTTTGTATATAATTGAAAAATGAAGATAACTTATTCACAACTCTGATGGACAGGATTGTTTGGGTTTTTTTATTTTCTTATTTTATATTCCACTGGCTTAAACATATGTTGAAAATGCATTTTTATAATGGAACAAGTGGAGCTGCGTTGGGAAAACAACTGACTCTTCTGCTTATGTGCTTCTGCAGATACTAAGTCTTTATGTAATGGCTTGTTTGTAATGTCATCTCTTAAACTCAGTAAAAATCAATTTAAAATCGCTTTTTTTGAGGTCATGTCTTAATCTGTCAGTCACCTTTACTGCATTAGAAATAGGTGCAAAACTCCCCCAAAAGACAGCAGCAGCCTTTGCTTTCTCAATGACATTTGAAATTTCATCCTGCTTTCTTAAACGTACCTGCGCAGCCTCAAACCTCCTCTCATGTGTCGCTGCTGGGTTCAGTGAGAATGCTGGCCCCGAAGCCTGGTTCAGACCTCCCAACAAGAGCGAGACTCTCTGAGGTGACATTCAGGTATTTTTTTTAAGTGCTGGTATGAAACCCCTTCTATGTCAGCCTTGGCTTCGCAGCCTTTCTCACTGCCACCCCTTGAGGTTCAGTGGCGATATTCCCAAATGCAAAATCCAGAAGGCAAACTGGTGGGAATTCTCAGGGAGCGAGTAGCAGCCTCATATTAAAGTTGTGCTGCCTCAGGAATTAGCACTGAAAAAGCCATCCCAATTTCAGTTTGAAGCAAAACAGCATTTAAGCACAGCCTTAAAGTACCTGTACAAACTATTTACCAATAGATCTTTCATTAACTCCCTGTGACAGGAGGACTCCATGCTGTAGAGAGCAGTCCTGCGCACCCCTGCATCATCTGTCTCCCAAATAGGTCCTGCAGAGGAACTCGCACCTGAGCAGGTTGTGTATTTTGGCAAAATCCTCCATTAAGGTGCCAGATAGCACGTTACAGCTCTGTAAAATGGAGGTAGAGGAGGTTCTGCTTTTTCAAATGCTGCTGCTAAGTGTGTAGAAAGTCACAAATTTATTACTCCTCTATGTCCTCCCCTTCTAGCAAAACTAGAAGTAAAATATCAGTGGCAATAGTTTAACCGATTTCTCTGTCGATGGGCTTTTTCTCAGTCCTCCAGTGAGATCAAAAAAGCCTCCCATGCCAAGCAAGATACAGCACAAAAGTAATGCACCAAACAGTTGGAATATTGAAATAAATCATAGCATGGAGCCCAGGATGCTTGAGAAGGGAATGGGGATATTGTTCCTGAAACAAAACTGAGCGGTAGATATTTATTTTCCTGCTTATCGTGAACTTTGAGAACAGCATTCTGCCTGGGTTTCCTCCTTTCTGAATAGTGCAACCTCTATTCTTCACCAGGCTTTTAGGGGGAACCTCTGCCTGTGAGCAAAGCGCTGCCCGTCACCCTGTGGGAAGCACCAGGGTGAGTGCCGTGGAAAAAGTCATCTCCTCTTCACCCCATCCGCTCGGATGGGTCAGGGCTGCCACCAGCCCCACCTGGGGACAGGAGCAGCTCACCAGGGCTCCAGGCTAGGCTAGACCACGCCGTTTCAGTTGGAGGGGATCTGCAACAACCATCTAGTCCAGCTGCCCAAGCACTTCAGGGCTGGCCAGAATCACAGAATGGTGGGGGTTGGAAGGGCCCTCTGTGGGTCACCCAGCCCAACCCCCTGCCCAAGCAGGGTCACCCAGAGCAGGCTGCACAGCACCGCGTCCAGGCGGGGCTTGAATATCTCCAGAGAAGGAGACTCCACAGCCTCCCTGGGCAGCCTGGGCCAGGGCTCCGTCCCCCTCGGAGGGAAGAAGCTCTTCCTCATGTTCAGACGGCCACCTCATTACTTCACAGGCAACGTTTACTGCAACGAGATGACCTGTTTGCATTGAACATAAAATGGTTAATTAAATACAAAGAACAATATATTTATCAGCTAAATAATCTTCACTAAGTGTCCTTTCACCAGAACTGGACACAGCACTGCAGATGGGGCCTCCCCAGGGCAGAGTAGAGGGGGAGGAGAACCTCCCTCGACCTGCTGCCCACACTCCTCTGAATGCACCCCAGGATCCCATCGGCCTTCTTGGCAACCAGGGCACGCTGCTGGCTCATGGTCAGCTTGTTGTCCACCAAGAAGGTCCAGCAGGTTCTAAAGGGCATTGTCCAATGCCTCTCAAGCACCGACAGGCTTGGGGCATCGACCGCCTCTCAAGGACGCCTGTTCCAGCGTTTGACCACCCTTGGGAAAGACACGGTGCCGAAGGTCCAGTCTGAACCTCCCCTGGCGCAAGTTTGGACCATTCCCAGGAATCCTATCACGGCATCCCAGGGAGAGGAGCTCAGCACCTCCCTCCCCTCGTCCCCTCCTCAGGAAGCTGCAGAGAGCGACGAGGTTGCCCCTCAGCCCCCCCCAGACGAGACAAACCCCGAGCGAAGGCCCGGTTGCAGCGCTGTCCTTGGCTAGTGGCCAGCTCCAAGCCAATTACAACCACGCCGCTCTGTGCCTGGTAACGAATTGAGCTTAAATCCTGTGGTGAGACGGGCGAGCGTGTCGGGATCTGTCAGCCCGCTATCGAAATACACCGGCTAAAGATAGGAAGTGCCATTGGACTGAGGGGCTGAAGCACGTGCCGCACACCACACAGAGAAGCTTCACCACGTTCAAGTACAAAGCCTCTCACGTGGGACAAGCGTGGTGAGCTTTTGGGCGCTAAAATAACTCGGCCGTGGTGTCAGCACAGCTGCTGCAGAAGATTTCTGGGCGCGCCTTCGTTAGAAACGTCGCTCCAGAAAAGCCGCTGCCACGATTAGCAAGAAGTCACCCCCAGAAAACCCACCAAGCCTATTTCAAGGGGTGTTTTAAAGCAGCCAGGAGCGAGACCAGCAGCGAGTCAGAGCCACCACCTCATCCTGATGTTACACCAACATTTTCCATTTGTCTGGCCAGCACGGGGCTGCCGCAGCCAGAAACGAGATGCGAATACTGATGGCATCACCCACACTTCCACAAGCTATAAAAAGGCATATTTCCTTGCGTGCAACCCCCTGCGTGCCTGGAGAGACCCACAAAGCTATAATTACACCGTTACATGGCCGGCCGCTCGTCAACGGCAAAGCCGAGGAACGCCTGGGCCGGGGATGGTGCTGCGACTTGTCACCGATACCTTGTAAGTCCATTTGGCATCGTCACATGGAGCCTTTCCCGCAGATTAGCTGCAGCTCTGCTCGCGGGCAGGGGAAAAAATCAAAGCAGCCTCAGCTCCCCAGCGGGATCTGGCGTTTGATTTCCATCAGGGTTTCCCCCGTGGTCACAGACAGGTTTAACTCTCACCTGATAAGCCCTACAAAAGCATTTTGCTTTTCTGGAGACATAGAAGGGAAAAGACACCGCGCTCGCTTCAAGCCGGCCTCTAGGAAGCAGAGATGGAAGGTGGAAAAAAGGCACTTTGATAGTCTCTGCCACAGAGAACAGAAAACGCCCCAGGGCAGCGTTAGATCTGGCTGCAAGGAGGGGAACCGAGGCAGAACGTCCCAGCACGTCACCTCGCCGAACACCGGGGACCAGCACAGCCCCCCGTGTCTGAGCACAACCCTCGTCCCCGTGGTGTTCGGCGTCAGCGGAGTCCCTGTAGCCTTCACCTCCGGGACGCTTTCTCCCCCGTAAATCCTCCTCCGCGGCGAGGGGTTGGTGTTTTCGCCTGCCTTTGCGGCTGTGCGG